GGGGTGGGGGTGTGGATATGGGTGTGGGTGTGGGGTGTGTGTGGGTGTGGATGTTAGTGTGGGTGTGTGGGTGTGTGGGTGTGGCTGTGGGTGTGGGTGTAAGTGCGGGTGTGGGTGTGGGTGTGTAATGAATTAAATACATAATCCACACCCACACCCCACACCCACACCCAGCCACACCCACATCCTTAATAGGAGAACGCTGCCCTACCTCAGAGTCCTTCCACTCAATCGTTCGGGCTACTCGTACACACTAACTAATCAAACACTAGTCACAATGGCTGGTGTATGTGACAATGAAGTCAATATGCTATCGTATAGATGATACGAAACCAACATCCATTACTGACTTTTTCGGGTCATTCTATGTTTGATGGGATAGAGACTCGGATACAGCGTTCTTATAATACGTTTCAAACAACTTAACCATTCAGCCATAGTGGCCAGACAGACAAACTGGTTTACTATCGAGATATGGATAAGCAAAAAACACAAAAGTGCGCTTAAGTAGACAAACAAAAAAATGACAAAATCCTTAGTTTTCGTTGCTCGAAGACATTGAATAATCCACTGTAGCGATGCAATACACATCAAGTCTACTAAAGAAGATTAGCCACTAGTTGCCTCTGACATTGAATGTTTAGGCATTTAGAAAAATAATTTTTACGATTCAGATAAACTTGAGGGATATTGTAGTTATTTTCAGCCATTTTCGCAATGAGAAGATATTTTGTCTTATGAATCAAGAATACGTGTTGAAATGTACTGTACTACATAATTATCGAATTGTTAAAACATTTGATATCGCTACTAAAAGTTAGCCCTTCATGAAATATTGACTTAATGTTGCCAAATGACAACATTCGACTGGAAAAGTTAATTAGTTAGAATTTAAAGGAAAAATTAAAGAAAGATCATTAATGACCAAATCCAAATTTAATCATTCTAATATTTAATAAAAAACAAACAAGCTTTTTGCACGCATTTATTAACGGATGACTCATAATAAATGCCAGAACGTTGTGTTTCATATTTTGACCTCTAGATGCCTTTCATTAAACAAACAAAATATACTACAAGATACAGCGTGAAAAGCTCTACAATTTACATCAGATCGCTTGTCTTACAGTTGCATTTTTTGTATTCAAAATAGACAAAATTTGGAGCAATCGAAAATTTCAACTGCGCAAAATTTGATCGCAGAGAATTTCCCTTTTTTTGAAAACAATTACAATAAGTTCTAGTGTGTAAATTGTAGAGCTTTTCACGCTGCATCTTGTAGTATATTTTGTTTTTTTAATACAACCTATTTATTGGTTAAAATACGCTTGATAAAGATTGTATAATCTTTTACCTATGCAAAAAAATACGAGTCCGAGTTTTTTTCAAATATTCGAGTCATTTGTATGGTCACGAAGATTCTAGAATGCTTCAAAACCTTCTAAGTCTATCTATCATTACTAAGGTCCGTATTGGAAGAGTTCGAAAAAAAAACCTTGATTTGAAAGTACAATCTCTATGATTTTTTTTCTCGAAAATATACATGAATTCTACAAAATGATATCACTTTCATGCCAAAATTGGAAAAAATTCTAGTTTTTTCCTTATATTTGGTCTCGAAAGTTATTAAAAACAATACTTTCCGTAAATTTCAACTTCTTGAGATTTTATGATTTATTCTTTGTCAAATCTTCTAATAAACATTCATTTAATATGGATGATTATTTTCGATTTGCTGCAATTATTTATTCATTAAAATAAAATCATAAATATATCTATTGAAAGTTCAATCTCTGATTTATGTATTAAATGAATTACAAAGCTATCATTATCATATATAACAAGAAAATAAATAAATAGGACAAGTCTTAAAAAATTAAATTTTTACCACCATAAATGTAAATCATCATTAATGTATTTAATAGAGTAATTATCAAGTAAATTCTCTAATTTAATTAAATCTTTTATTTCTTTTAAATATTTTTCTTGAATTTTTGAAATGCATAAATAACATAAGTGTTGTGCTTGATTATGAGTTTTTGATAATAAATATTGAATTATTGATGATCTTTCTCTGATATTTATTCCAATTTTAAGATATTTTAATTTCGAAAATACATCAACAATGAATCGAATTTGATTCAATGAACATGTATTAGTAACAACTAAATTTTCAATTTTATTTTTTTTTAATACATATTGTAAAAGTATATTGTATTTAGTGAAATTTGAATTAATCTTTTGCAAAGAATATGCATCAAATTGTAATGTGTATAAATTAGGTGTTAAACGTAATAATTTAATAATTTCTTCTAATGGAAAACGAAAAAGTTTAATAACTAATTTTGTAAGTTGTTTTAAAGGAATCATACACTTAAGATTTGTTATAAATGAATCATCATCTAATGCTTCATCATAATATTCAATAGTTAATTGATTAACATTTAAAAAATAATTTCGACGATTTGGTTTTATTTCACACGCAATATTAAGATGTTTGACTGAGTTGAAATTTTCTCTTTGATGATATAAATCAAGTTCGTCATCTATCTCCCAATAATACGTATAATCTTTTCTTCTAAATAAATGAAATAAAGAATAATCTATAATGATAAACAAGTGATTGTTTTACGATAGAAAGATATTGTAAGAAAATATTTTCTTTCAGTAGCTTTTTCTATTGAAGAAAAACGAAAATCGACATAACTATCCTATTTCTTTTGTATAAGAGATTAATTTCTATTTACCGATATGGACCAGTCGAATAAAAAATTCCAGTAGCTAATTCGTGTTTCCATTTATGTTGATGTGTAAAAAACCATTTCTTTTCATTCCAAAATGAAGAATTAAATTGATTAATTACATCATGATATCTTAAATTAATATTATTTAGAAAACGTTGATGATTAATATCAAATATACGTAAATATGACATATGAAATAAGATTAATTGTTGCCATCGTTTAGCATCTAAATATGTTTCATCTTCATCATTCACTATTGTAAGACGTAAAATTTGAATATGATGAAAAAATTCTTTGATAATTTTCTCAAATTCATCAAAACGTACGTAATCAAGTTTAAGAGAAACATGTTTTAAATATTTTAATTGAATAGAAGATAATTTGTTTCTTTCTTGATAATTATGAGAGTTAACAAGAGAATTAATTGATAAATGTTGAAGTTTAGGAAGACAACATAATAAATTATGAAATGCCCTAAATGGAAAACGACCATTTATTATTAAATATTCTATTGGACTAGAATCATAATTAGCAAAATAACCAAAGAATTGTTGATATTCAATTTTACAATATTTTAATGTCGATAATCGAAATATTTGAGAAAAAATAATATCTAATAATGAAATATGTTCAGCAAAAGAAATAGTTAATGCATGAAGAGTAGATAAACATATTAAATAGTCAAAGAATTTGTCAGAATTTTTATTTTGTATATTATAAAGAATTAATGTTTCAAGATGAATGAAATTTAAAATCAAACGTGGTTCTGAGAAAATAATCTCGGTAACAAATGGATTTGATAAACGAAGAAAATTAATTTGACTTTGATTTGGTATAAGTATATTATGATAATAATCTTCGAAATTTGATTTTGATATTGTTAAAATATTGATTTTAGTTAAAATATTCGAATTAATAGCTAAATTTTGAAATCGATTATTAAGATTGTAAAATCCTTTATAAATATCATATACATCAAGATATTCAAATATTTCATAAAGAATTTCATTAGCTAAGTCTTCAAGACGATATCTAAACAAAAGTAAAAGATCATATTATTTATATGATGAAATAGATATATCTAACTTGTTTGAATTGATTATTGTTACTAAAACAACAAAAAGGGAGAAAATTAGATTTAATAAATGTTAACATAAAATATTACTTTGATTTTCTAATTTTTGTTTTTTATTACTATTTGAAACTTGAACCATATCATCATTCTCTTGTCGTTTTATTCGTTGCATGTTTAAGATAATTGAATAATGATGATACTGACCGAGAACGAATATATATCGACACGAGCAACAATAAACACATTGTCTTTTTTCTTCTCTAAGCATAACAGACGCCGAGAACGATATGGCTCCGAATAGACTGAAAAAAATAAAACAAATTAAGCAACGTGATTGGTCTATTTCGATCTAAATCGTCTCAAAAAGACGATTTATTCGTTAATTCAGTTTTAATTCACTTTGAATTAGTCGGTCTGTTTGGGATCTATGTTGCTTTGTGTTGAAAAGACAATGATTTTTATGGTACAAGAGTCACCATGAAACAATAAAGAAGAAATAATTCAAAAAACTCATTCTGTAACAGATTTTTTCGCTGATACAATGGAAAAATTATTCTAGAGAGAATCATTGAATTTTCTGTTGTTTTCGTTTATTTATTTTTATCGCTATATGTTATTTATATACAAATCAGTTCAAACAAATCGCAACTGGCTATGCTAACCTGCTAATGACTGATTCGACTGCTTTTTTTTGACTTTCTTTAATAGAGCAAATGTTTGATGAATTTCCAGACAAGCAATACGAAAAAACTATTGTTTCGCTCTTGATATCAATGTGCTATTAAGAACATATTTATTTCATTTGTAATATTTACTATATTGCCATTTTAGATTGATGTGAGTTTTCTAGAAGAGTGTGGGTAAGAGTTTGAGTGTGTGATAACTTCTCTCTCACACCAAAACACCCACACCCTCTTGACCGATGATGGTTTCAAGGTCATTATCTTTGATCGTCAATCACGTTTTGGAAGGTATATGGTCCAAAGACTGAACATATGTCGCTTTGTGCATTCAACAAGTGAGTGGTTTTATGAAATTCTTTGATTTAGTCGATCTTGACGGTAAATATTGGTATGATTTTTAATTTTTTTTACGTCTATTCCTGTTGATTTGCTTGTATTAGCATTGAATTTTGTTTCTTGCAAGCATATTCATGATTATCTATACAAAATATGCCAATCAATTCAATGTAATCGAACAAGTTCGATTCGGAAGTTATGTCAATTGATAAAGATGATCTTAAAAATGCCGATAAACTATGGGAAGTTCGAGTCAAAATTGCTGATGGTAACGAGAAAATATTCGAATTCGATCTGATTGTTATTGTTATTGGTCTTTTTTCAACTTCTTATATGCCGATCATACGCGGTCAGAATAAATTTCTCGATTCAATTATTCACATTTGTGACATCAAATCATCTAAACAGCTAGAAAATAAACATGTTGTAGTACTTGATGAAGGTAAATCTGCCTTTGACCTAACCATAACAGCTGGTACTTATGCGAAAATATGCCATATATTGTTTCGTCGTGCACATTGGTTGATTCTTAATCATCTTATGGATGGTCGCCTATCCAGTCGATATTTATTTTCACCTGTTTCGAGTACTGTTCTCGACCCGTATCCATATGGACCACACGATGCTCTATTCCGTTTGACAATTAAATTTTTTGCCAAAGAATTCATTTAGGAACAAAGAGAATTATTTGCGCATATCTGACGATTTTATTCGATTGAAAGACGTTAGCTTTGATCGATGGAACAACGATTCGACTTGACTCAGGTTCGAAGGAAACAAGCGTGCATTTTATCTTCGTCATAGGTACTGGAGCTTTGGACATACAATTATCATTTTTGTACTTCTGCTGTTTCTTTTTGTTTTCTTCATTCTCTGACTCTGTTTTTGAGTGTAATTCATTTTTTCAAAAGAATATGAAAGATGTTGAAGATGTGATTGGATACATAGCGAGATAATGATGAAGAGCAAATCTGCTTCTGCATTGAGAATCAGATACTTTTGTTTTCTTCAACTCAAACATAACAATAGAATAAGACTTTTGATATCGTAACTTTTTATTCCCATTCTAATCTATCTATGATAAAAATGTCATCTCTTCTAGTTGAATATTGATCAAATCAGGATTGCCACCTTTTCTGCTTTCTGTATTGCTTCTTATTATTTAAAACAATTATTTTTATTTTGAAGATTAACATTAAAAGTTTTTCACAAAACTTTATAGAATTTGATTTCAAAATTTTGTTTTAGCTATATTTCAACAAAAAGGTATAAAAAAAAGTAAAGACATACAAACAGTTTTTACAACTAAATATGAAAATGATGATAGTTTCATGAAAATTTCTTGTGATCTAAATAAATCGATTTCCAATTAAGCCATTAAATTGTGGATAAAAATGGACTCTAATAATTTGTTATACTCTTTCGATCTTTCAAACATTTAGTAAAAGTTTTAGCTGATCGTCGAATTTCCCTAATTTATAACTCTCGGATTGTATTTTTAAATATAAATTACTGAAGAATTCTATTACTAGAAAGATAATTTTAATGCATAAATAAGAAACGTCCTTTCAAAATAACTCGATAATTTTACAATTGCTAATTCATTTGAATGTACGATTCTAATCAATTTAAAAAAAACATGATGGTAACTATATTCGTTGGATAAGCGTTATTATTTTATGAAGAGTTTCAAATGAAATATTTCAATAAAAAAAAAAAATCATCTCCCATTAAATTAAAAATTTTAAAATCTGAACAACGTGACACATTTTTAAGTTTCGCCTTCTGAATTTTGTAGCAACGATCACAAAGATTTTTTTTTTGAAAACAAAGCCATAACAAGCCAAGATATCGGACTAAAAAAGAATTATTTCTTTATCAAGATTTATCTCAATTTATAATTTTTCGCTCAGAAACATCGTAGAGAGTTCAATTTTTTTCATGTTAAAAGAACACAGGAAAAGGTTTTATTTTTCGGATTAATTTCGAATGAGACAAATATTCGACAGCAACTATCACCAAAAAAAGTCTTTTTTGTAACATTCCTTTTTCTAAAACATATTCTCTAAAACAGTATGCAATTCTCTGTAAATTTAAATTATAGCATCTATTAACAACGTGTTTAAGTCTTAAATAAAGAATTATTCTGAGTGTCCTGTCTATCATGTATAAAGTAGTGCTTTCTATCAAAAAAAACAAAGACATTTTATTTGTTGATTGTTAGAAAACTTCTGAAGAACTTTCGAAAGTATGAAAGTCGATTAGTTTTCATAAAAATGACTTTTTCATCTACTTAGTTGTATCAATATTCACATCTTGATAAATCAATTGAATTAACACTTCAACATTATCGACAATCAAATTCTTAAATTAATAACCAAAATTAAAACAAGATCATGCACGTTAAGAAAAAGTAAAATAAAACAAAAAGTAATGCATGTTGTTGAACAAGATAACATGAAATGAAACAGATGAGGGTGTGAGTGTAAGTTTATGTTTCATCAATATTCACACACCATAAAACATATAAAACCTTCGACACATTAGAAGACCTCGGATCTTCTATTCTATCTTATCGTTCACAAATTACAAAGGAGGAAATCTTCTATTATTATGAATGCGCCGATTTGTCATAAAAATGTTTGTGCATTTTGTAGTAGAAAGTAAAAAGCATAAGGAGGCCTTTTAGTCAATACACAACGGAATATTACAAAATATATATCTATTTCAGAAATATCCCTTCATGTGTGACCCGTGAAACTGTGCACTGCGGCAATTAAGACCTGTGACCATAGGAACGGCATTTTTGATATAGATAATTCAAGGAACTTTTCTTCAGATTATGTTGCAACTGGGAACTAACACGTTGCGATGACGAGGGAAGCAAAAATATAGTCCATAGTAAACTTAAATATTATTATAGACATCAATACTAAAAAAATAAGCCGCAGAAATTATTTATAAAAATCGACTTTTTTAATGTATCGATGGTTTTAATAAAACCTATCATAAAAAATTCGTTTGTTTGCGGATGAGTCACAGGAAAGTTGTATAGTATATTCGAAATAATATTTTTCATTCATACAAGTGAAGAAAAATATAAATTCATGATGAAAACATGGAAATTTTTAAGTCCATTTATAAATACTTTGAAATGTATTTTTTTTTGTTTTTTTCTTCTCAGTTTTTATGAGTTTCATTTTATTTTTCTTATACTATTTTGGTTAACTATCTCGTTCGTTTCTGAGATTTGTCCAATCAATCATATATTCGTCAAGTCTTAGTGTCACTCTTGTCTGTTCCTCATATATCAGTCACTGATTCTTTCTTCGTAGATTTTTCATTTCTATACAATGCATAATATGATATATTGTTTTGAACTAAGTGTGCATTTTTCTTTCGTCAAGTCTATTTAGAATTCATACAGTTAATAGATCGGTGCTCTCATGCGCTACTATAAATAAATATTTTACGATAATGTATGTTTCTACTGATGATGGCAGTTAGTAAATAAATATGAAATTCTTGTAGGTAGAATAGTTTTATCATACAGTTTCACTTATTACTGGATGTTTAAGTTTCTGAACTGAGTAAATTATTACAGAAGATTTTCCTATCCATAGACTTAGTTGGCTTGAAAAATAGTTCAGATAAGTTATTGATTATTACAATCTTGTCAATATTTTGTAACAATGACTGATTAATTTAATGTGATACTTAAAATTAGGTCTATGAATAGAGAATTTTTTTCTGTAGTAGTTTACTTATTTCAGAAACCAAACACATTGAAATTTCGGCGCGTTTTTTTCGTTGTGTAGTAGTATAACAACCTTTATTGCATTCAACATATATTGAAGAAAAGAATTATCTATATTTTTATCAATACTTAGTATACATAGGGAAAACATCGTACAAAAACATGCATAAAAAAAATCTATTATTATGATGAATGGTAAAGATGTTGTTGAAATTAATTTTTGAGCTTAATTAATGTATATTTTACGTCAAGCAAAAAGAAGACACATGAAAAAGCCAAATATTTGCACAATCAACATTGATAAGTTATCGAATATTATAGAGAATTTTCATTGATCGGCATGCCAAAGCATTAACTAGTTGATTGAAAATCCAGATACAAGTAAGACAGATGAATGTCTTACTACATCAACGGAACCATCGATAAGGTTTCACAAGTTGATCAAGAGAAACATATGAATATAACCATTGGGCTAATATATAACAGTATGATTAACAGACTTATTTGGAGAATTATTGAGAGACATTGATGATAATAATGAATAGTGTCCTATAACTATTAAATTTCCGATTCAATTTCGGAAAACTAATCTAAACATATGATTGATCGGCTGAATAGCTCATGATCTTAAATATTTTTCGTATATATTCTTTATTTCAGAAGCTTGTTCGAATAAATTATAAATCATTGTCGATTCCATGAGCTCGCTTGAATATTTGTTCACAAGAGATAATCGGAAAAAAAAGTAAAAATAGACTATTAATATTACGCAGTGTACAACACACAATTTATTAGACCAAGTGAACATATGATTAAGACTTGGTTTCAATCTATAGAAAACAAGCAAATATTTTATAGAAACATTGATACCAATTAATGTCAGCAACGTAATAATAAACGTAGAAATCAATTCTTTTCTTTTATAAAATTGTACATACTGAAAGTGAGAATGAAAAAAATTAGGCATATCAATCTTTTGATCTACGTTGATATTATTGTTGTTGTTATTGAATAGAAAATGATAGAATAATTGCCTAGTTTATTCCACTAAAATAATCAATTGTTATAGAATACATCTTTTCTCTATCAAAAATACACTGAAGAAAAAAAAATGCTCTATTTTTCTTTATAAGAAACGCTTTCTTCAACAGAGATATCCAAAAAAACCTAACCAACTCGATCATGACAGTTACCGCTACAAAATTCGGTGGAATGTGGATGTGCGTAGGTGTCTGTCTTCTTTTGAGTCACACCCACACGTTGTATCTTACAAGATTGTAATAACTAAGAACTTAACTAAACTATTGTTTTAGCAACTAAGTCTATGGATAAGTCAGCATTCCCTAACAATTAATTTTTAACGATTCAGGTAATATTTTAATAAAATACTCTCTATCAATAACAAGACGATTGGTTGAAATACTGAATGCCCAAATAGTTAGAGATGATAAATTAACACCTTATAACGATCACTTTTTTCCTTTCCACGTGTTTAACAAGTATCAAAATGTTTGCATTTTAATAGTTGTTGTAATTTTGACTTTAACAACGTTGTAATGAGTAAAAAACACTTCGAAATTAATCAGATTTTCTTACATAAAAGTCTATGTATGATTTTTAGATCACAAAAAAAAATCATGTTGTCGAAATAATTGTTCGATCGAAACAAACGGACAGATATAGAGACTATATACGTATAACACTTTATTCTCTTAGATGAATACTTGGGTCAAATTGCGTTTACTAAAATCAAATAGCAAAAACAAATCAAAACTTTTAGTACACAAGAGATAAATCAAATGTTATGGTCTAATGTACATACTTAGAGTGCCTTTATCAAACGTAAAGTACGGTCGATGTGATGTGACTCATTACACTTGCTTCTATGTTTTGCTAGTAGAACAATAGAAAAATC